GCAATCGAGGACATTGGCTAATGAAATATCCTGTACCTTAACCTCTAACGCTCGAGATAAGCGGCACTACGTCAAACTTTCCCGGTCTTATCTCGTACAAACGGTAACACGTCAGTCGCTCTTACCTATTTCAATTAGAATTACAAGAATACGTGGTAGTATGTCGGCCGAGTTTCAATTGCAACATTTATTCCACCAGCTGTACATCAACCCTGAGAATTCCACGTTAATCCTATTTGGATCATCGCGAGTTGTAAATTACGAGATATTACACGCGCCGTACATACGGTATCGGCGACCGTTAAGGTGTTTATTATCGTCGTAAAATATTTCGAAATGACGTAATCTGGCGGAATCGATGGCACGTGGCATTTAACGGGGTTTCGACTCGGATGAACGGTGGTAATGGGTGGAGAAGCACGCGCCGACACGTGCGACGCGACTCATCAGCCTCGCTCACGGCAGATCTCCTCTGTCGTCGCGGCTCGCGCTTTTCCCACGGATCCCCCCCTTCGCCGCGAAAATTTCTCCAGTTTCACATCCTTGTGTTACATAAAAATCCGAGCAGACGAGCGCATCCCAGACTGCGACGCGCGTCATTGTCTCCGTGTCACCGACTCGTACGAAGTTTCACCCGGTGATCTGGACGAGGATCATCTTCGTAGCACCGAGTTTCGTATCGGGTAATCAATTTGAAAATGGAAAATTCCTTTTAGCGGTTGTTTACCTTGAGAAATGTCGAGAAGCGAGCGTGGAAATTGAAAATTGCGCGTGAAAGATCTTTCGTGTCACGCGTGAGATGCTAACTGGGTAATTAATTTGAAAAAAAAAAACATTCTGCTTACCTTGAAAAGTCTTTCCCCCTCTAACGAATTCAGTGGTATTTTTTAATTATCACGAGAAGAGTGTGGAAAATGAAAATTCTACGGAAAAGGCCTTCTCTCTTTAACGAATTCAACGGTATATTTTGCGGAAAATTGCGGCTGAAGAATCGTTTCTTTTTAAGCGAATTTGAAATGAAACTCGGTATTTTTCATATCTCTTGGAAAATTTGGAGAACCGAGTGTAAAGAATACCGAAAATTGCTCTTCTCTTGTACGAATCGTCAGTTGGTCAAGCTTGCAGTCAAGGTCGCAGCATCAGTCGAATTCTGAGCGCTTTCAGTCGTCGGGGTTTCGACATAAGGGTGCGCTATACTCGTCTGAACGTTTGCCGGTGTTTGCAGAGAAAGGGACACGCTCCGATTGTTACGATCGATGCATGAGAACGGCCTGGCACTACTGTGCTTCGTATTCGCGGCTGCAGCTCCCTATCAAAGTTCATCACAATCGAAATCGGACTGCGGAGAAGTTTCGAGCTAAATACGAACAATCTAGAGAGAACAATACTTGAATACCGTTTAAATATCACTCTCTTTCACCTCAAAATCCTCGTTATTATTAACTTCCTCTACGAAATCGAAATACTGTACATTTTTCCTACAATTTCCCACTCGTCACGGTGTGTCCGTCGAATTTCATAACGTCGAACAGCGGCCGCAGTAGAACGAAATTAATTGCACATCGTGTGGTAATACGATGCACACTCAGGTAAGTCCGATTATTGCGCCTCGAAATCCTCCGACAAAAAGAGCGAGGAATACCAAAAATGAAGGAGAACCTATCGAAAACTGCGCGAAAGATTGGCGTTCTTAAAGGATACAAACGTCCGGCCTCCTGTTCCACGCGTTTATTCTCGTGGTTGGAGAGGTGAACAGCGACGGGATAGAGCGGTTTAGTTTCGATTCGATTCACGGGCTCCGAGAAAGTGGCTTTATCAGGGGAACGTAGGCGCGCTCGATCAGCCTGCTCGACGTTTCGTCGATCTATCGTCGATCGATCTCTAGGCAAATGGACAAACGGACGAAAAACGTACGGAGAATTTCTGAAACGTGGCCAGAAACGATCTCTCTCTCTCTCTCCGTTTCTCGATCACACTTGTTGTGCCTACGATTTCAACGTAAAGGTTCTCCGATAAACGCACAATTAATAGGCCGGCCAGAGCCGTTATTACTCAAGCGTGACACCGTGAACGAAAGAAAGGATCGATTGCACAATGGTACCCGTTCGTTAAATAATCCGATCACGCGATTTTCCCTCCCCCCCTTGCCTTTCCTTCCTTTATTCTCGCCCACCTTTTCGATTGCGAAACTCGAAAATCGTCTTCGACGGAATAATAATCGGCGACGATAGACACGATTAATTGGCGGGTATCTCTGATCAAGCCAGGCTACCGTTCCGAGGGTGGTCAAGAACGAAAAGAGCCGACAGCAGCCGCGGTGTCGCTTTATATATTCGAAACCGGTCATGGCTGGCGAGAACAGATATGTGCGCGGGCGACTTTCGCGATACGCCGCGACGGATTTTTCGCGGATGCCAAATAATATAATGGCTTTCACTTGGAGCGCGAGCCGGAAAACTAGCCGGCCGTGATACGTCACGAGCGAGGGATCGCGCGCCGAAACCTCGCTTTTAATTAGCTTTTCGTTTAATTAGCCTCCGCCTTCCATCCCGCCTACAACCGAGATTAAGTCATCCTCTCTCTGTATGTACGTACGTGTGCGTCGACGTTTTTCCCAGGGTCGCCTCTCTTTTTCCAACTTTTCTCCCTCCCCCTGCTCTTCTATTTTCTTACAGCGATTCAGCTATCGAGATTGCGAGCATTGAATCGAGACGATTCGAGATAATCGTACAGGCAAGAATAGCCTCTTATCGACTATTTGGTACTACGAGCCGTTTTATCGGAACGGTAAGGGCGATTTTCCTTTGGTAAACAACGCGCGAGGAATCGTTGATCAACGAGACGGTTGTGCAATTATGTAGATTGTCGAGAGAGGCAGCTGGCGAGAGAAGAACGGTATAATGTTATCTGTGTAAATATATCGCCGGAGAATTCCTGCCCGGTGGTAGAGGCTAGGAGACGAGGAGAAACGACCATGGAGTCGATGTCTTCTCTTTGTTCGGTAACGATGAAAATGGGATCGATAGGATCGATGCCGCGAATTACGTCGTTTAGGATGCAAAAACAAAAAAAGAAAGAGCTTGCAGCCGATAACAGACACGCTGTACTTTTACCAAGTGAATTTCGCCCGATAATTAACCGAACGTCGATGTTTCTCAGGTTTAACAGGCATGGCGTGTACGTAACGACGACGCAGAATTTGCATTCCCCCGCCGTATATTCGCTTGCTTTCTCACAGTCATATCGCAACCTCAATTGAATAATCTGCGATTAAAAAGAAGAGAAGAGAAAAAAGAAGGAAAAAGGAGGAGGAAACTGCAAACAAGTATGCTGCAACTGGAAATAATCACGGAGCTCTTCTACCAACGGGTAGAGATTCGAAATCCCGGTGGTAAGAGAGTCGCGTAGAATTGAAGCAGCCAATCTCGTTGGTAGAGTCCGCGTAAAATCCAGCTACTCTGCAAGTGCAACGAACTCGAAGGGGTATATCCGGGAAGGTATCCCGTGGGGGGATAGGGCATTTAACGCTAACGAAAAGCCTGAATTCCGCGCGGTGTTCGTTTAAAACGTCCCATTGGCGTGATTCAAAATCGTGTCCGCCATGATGGAGGGTTAGCCCTCGCTCGAATCCTATTTCCAGGCTCTCTCCTCCGTATAATACGCCGTGGCAGCGTGGAATTAGCGGGCTGAGGTAATAAGTAACAAGAGACGGTGGCAGGCAATCTATTTAGAAAAGAATTCAGGTTTCTTAAGGCCATTCAACGACCCGTAATTCCAACTCTTTAGAACGTTCCACGTTTTGCCACTAACTGTGAAACTCCTTTTCGATGAGACGGCCCCTCGTTTCCACGTAACGAGCCACCCATAATCTGGACCGAGCGTGTCACCATTCTCCGATCTGCCACACCGTTTCCTCTCGTCCCTTTCCAACCCTTTCTTCGTTTTCCCTCCTTTTTACCCTCGACGAAACTCCTTCGCTTAACGGCACTCGCTCTCGAATACGTTCGTTCTCTCTCCTCCTCCTCGGGCGATATCGTCGTATTTGAAAATTCGAAAACGGTCCTCGCAGACGCTGGACAACGTTGTTCGCTGCAGCTCGAACGAGAGATCGTGAGAAATCGCACGCGTTTCACGGCTAAACCCGTGCCTCGCTTTTGCAATCGAAACTTCCTGCCGCTAGGCTAACGTCGGAATGTCTGCCCGTGTTTCGACGCACGTTGCCAGCTGCCGCAAGTTTTAGTACTCTTAAGTACACCGTTCTTACCTGCACTGTAACAAAGGATAAAAAAGAAATGAACAGCGGTGCTATGATTACGTATCAGCTGAACTACAAAGAACGAGTCACACTCTCGTGTCCTTTCCAACAAAGACATGTTTGCGTCGTTCGTGACCCAGAAGGGTTGCTCGGTGAAGCAACAAGTCGAACATCCTCGCTCTTCCACCTGAACTTTCCGTTTCTCAAGAGGCGAAAGAATACCAGGAACGATCCCCGAAGCTGGAAAGTAGGAATGATCGTGTGGAACGGTTTCGTTCTACCGTGTACATGCCGTGCACCACGCCTGCCACGAGAGAGTTAGGTATCGTTGGTGACCAGGTAACCCGGGTGGTGCCTGGTGTTGCACTTGGTGTGGCCTGGCGATGTGGATACCGTGTAGGCCAAGATGGTGGGGCGGGTGGAGTAGGAGGCTGCTCTCTCGGCCGTTAGACATAGACGAAGCCGTTGGAATACCCGCGAACAACCTACAACAACCTCTGTTTGCCTGTCGGGGGGAAAAACGAGGGGGGACTCTCCCCCTCTAACCCCCCCTCGGTTCGCCACCAAACAAGCTGGTGGGACTAGCTATGCTAGCCGCTGGTACGACGTGGATTATAGTTTTTCTAGGGGGAGGGTGGTGGGGCGGGTTGCTTTCGAAAGGATGGTGATTGTGGAGCGTAGCCAGAGTAGAGTTAGGCGTATATAAGGCCCGCCGGCCCGGCCCAAGTCAGTCATTCACCGGACTACCAGCCCACCATACACATACCAAACATGAAGGCCTTTGTGAGTATCTACACCACACGGGGTTGTTGAGAATATTTCCGCGGGGTTGTTTCACTACGATCTCGGTTCGATCTCGAATTAATTCTGCCCGGGTTCTCAGATACGTAGAAACACTTCTCTTTTGCCCGATAACCGATGCACGGTTCGGCCTTCTTCTTTTGCTCTTCTATTCTGAAATCAATCATTTGCATTCGATCGAGTAACGTGTGTGTGTTTTTCTCTTTTTTCTTTCTTTCGAAAAGAGATTTTTTGCCTTGTCCAAGTAGCTTTCCCACTTTGATTTTGCTTCGAACAGCTCGATTATACGGGCCACCGTCAGCTCTCTTCTACCCAAGAGACAGAGATCTTGGAGTAAAGTGACACCGCCGGTGGTTATAAATCGTTCTAATTGAAACCTTTCACGTTCTATCCAACTGTCTCGAAGCATCTGCCAAAGTTGAAACTCGAAAGCTCCGTTTACAGCCGGCTGTGCGTCACCGCGTTCAATGTCACGGGCTCAGAAACTGCGCTCGTCCTTTTTGCACCGCGGGTACCAGCCGAACGAACCGACTTTGCCCTTCTTACGCGCCTCCATTCATGCAGCAAGAAGTCTTGTTACACGGTACACTGACCGTGTTGCGGAACCGGTTGTAGTAGTATCATCGTCATTCAACCGAACCCACGACCGGTTCTATTTCTCGGTGCAGCATCTTCATTCACGAATACCGTTTGTCGTCCAGTTTCCCTCTCGGTGCGCCTCGCCATCTTGCCGGCGAACCTGAAAGAGAGAACACACGATCTGAATTTAAAAACCTCGTTCGATCTGTTACCGCGAGAATTCTGCGCAGGTTGGAAAATTCGTGGAGATGGGTTTCGTATAAACGATCTGCGAACGATCTATGCAAAGTAGGAAACGGTTTCGAAACGTCCTTTTCCGATTGCCGGATCACGAGAACGCCGCGGTCGGCCACGTCACACGAGTGCACGGTTCCACGTAAACGGGATGTGAAAGTTTCGCGAAGTCGTTAGATATGCATAATAGCAGAGCAACATGGTGCACTCAGTTTTAAGCGGGAGAGTTGGGCGTGACGCGTACAACGACGTCTTCCGTCGCGAGGCTGGCACACGCGAACGAGCCTTAGAATTTTCGTCGACGCGACCAGAAAACTAGTCGATTGTCTCTCGTGTTTTTCGTTCGATTCGCGGTAAAAGTTGGTAGAACTGGTCGTTTCCAGTAACGGGAAGAAAACTAGCGAGGGGAATTATCGAGATCGATTCCCGCCAAGTTCATTTGTCGATAGAAACGAATATTTCACTTGGACGACGATTCAACTGCGAAATTCTACCGTTGCATAAAACTCTCGTTTTAGAAGAGAGAATAGAGGCACTGTTAACAAGTAGCCAGTAGAGAATTACTTCCCCTGATATGGCGCGGTTAGGCGTGGTAAACGGTTCGATTGATCGTGAACGCTAATGGAGGGATGGATCGGGAACGGCGGTTAAGCCGGTCGAAACTCGTAATCGTAAAGTTATCGGGCGAATTGCGAAACGTTACGACACTTTGTTCCATACTCGCGGAATTTTTTCCCAATTACGAAGCGGACGAGGAGGACGACGACGTTACGAAATTACACACGATTCCATCCGGTCGCATGGACTTTGATATTAGACAGGACGGCAAGAACCGGTCGCATCGTTGCTTTCACGCTTCTACGGAGAGACAGCTCCGGGGTGGGACAATGTTTTCCCAGGTACCGAGAATCGTTTCCCGATGCAATGGAACACTACACGCGGCAAATCTGTTGCGGCGCTAAGCCGGTATAGAAAGTGAAAGCCGCGGTTATGTTAGCACCGGGTGGTAATCGTTGCCAAGCCAATGGGAGTCTGAATTCGCCACGGTGATAGTCGCTTCCGTAAACCGACGCGCAATGGATAGTTCGTCCTCGTGTTTTCAAGTTATCTCCTTTTTTCCACCGAGTGGATTTCACCTTTCGCGAGAGCCGACGATTAACGGAACGCGATTGTTGCCTGTCGCAGATTGTGTTCGCCTGTCTGGCAGTGGCGACGGCCCGCGCAGGAATCGCGCACGGACCTGGCATTGCTCTTGCCGGAGGTCATGGTCTTGGAGGCGGCATTGGTCTTGGAGGACTTGGTCTTGGAGGTGGTATTGGTGTTAGAGGTATTGGACTTGGAGGCATTGGAGGCATAGGAGGAATAGGAGGAGGAGGTGCTGGTCTCTCTGGTGGACTTGCTGCGGGTGCTGGAACTGCGGCATCCCTTCAAGGAGGATCTTCCAGCTTGGGATCCGGTGGTCTTGGTGCCAGTTACGCTGCTGGATCTGCGGCGGCAGCTGGATCTGCTGGTGTTCAACAAATTGTCTCCGGTGGTGCGTAAAACGGGACGGCTGTTGAAGAATTAGCAATTTTTCTTCGGTGGACGTTGCTTTATGCTACACGGATCGTTCTTTCCTCTTGCCGCGTACAGGAGTGATCGGAGGCAGGGCTGACGTTGGACCCGCTGAAGGACCCAAGGCTAACGTTGGACCTCAAACCGGTCCATCTGATCTCGTTGGACCACAAGAAGGAGCCAAGAGCGTTGGTGGACCACGTACCGGACCATCTAGTCTCGTAGGACCTGCCGCTGGTCCATCCACCCTTGTTGGAGCCAGCCAAGGTACCGCCACCCTTGTAGGACCATCCCAAGCAACGGCTAACCTCGTTGGACCATCTTACGGTGGTGTTGCCTTCTACGCTGGAAGTGGTAACGTCAACGGTGACGACGGATCCTCTGGATCTGCTGCTAATGCTGCGCCAGGAGGAGGTGCTGATGTCGCGCGTCTTTCTTTGGGTGGTGCTGGTTCGTATCCTGATTATTTCACATTAGCGTAGAATAACAATAAAAGGATAAGTGTTTGATCGACCTGCCTGGTTGAATCGCGCAGGTGCCGTCGCTGTTGTTGGTGGAGGTGGTCTCGGAATTGCTGGTGGTCTCGGCGGACACGACGGTGGTGTAGCTGTGATCAACGGACCGTCTGGCGCCATCCACTCCGGACTCGGCTCCCACGGAGCTATCATTTCCGGGGGACTCGGCAAGTACTAGACGTTCTAAGGCCCCAGCGATCTCGGCTCGGCGACGGCGGCGAACCCACCACAGTCACTTACCGGTCTCAAACGATCCTCAAACGCGCTCAACGTCTTCTTCCCAAAGCTTCGTTCAACCTAGGAGCATGGTTCTAGCGCCGGCGGCGTTAGTGGTGTAGTCAGTATATAGTCGGAGCATTTTAATTACAAGTCCAGTCGGTATATATCGAGAAACGAGGTGGAGTAGAGCGCGAATCTCGCGACAGCCCAGACGATTGCTCGTGCTGCCTGCCAATTCGACCATACTCGCACGGGTTTAGATCTCGGCCAAGTGTACACCGTGGAACCGGCCATTCGTGATCCGTGGTTCACGACTCTGGCTCAACCCTCTGCTGACGACGCGACTCGGTCCTGAATCGTTCAGACAAGGCACGGGTAAAATTTAGTCAATTTCTTTCTTTCATCAACTTATGCAACGCGCGGCAGAGGACAGCCGGATCGGAATCGCGATTGCCAGCCATGGTTGCAATAGCACACACACACACACAGACGCGCGACATCCGACATCTTGCTTGCGATCCACACATGATGAACCTGTGTCGAGCGATAGGCAACGCCTCCGATCAACGTTCGAGCTATCGTTCACGATCCAGATCGCGGTTCGACAACCACCCCAAACACTCCTCACCAACGAACCACCAAGTCAACGTAGTGTAAACACGGTTGACTACCGGTTGCTCACGCCATGGACCCAGCATGTGGACGAGCTTTGGCGCTTCGTCGCTAGACCAACTGGGTCTGTTCTGTTTTCTGAACACCCACCGTTGCTCCAGCACAAACTCTCTA